AAATGCCGTTTACGATCGTTTACGACCGGGGGTGTTTGACCTGGGTATTTCTAATAATACTTTTTATACGATGTTGTATTATTTGCTGATACATGATAAAGATCACAAAGGATGCGTATAAGTATGGACGAAGGTAGACAAATAAGACGATAGCCTCATCCTCACCATCGCACACAACTGCACCGTCACCCACATCCAAAAATTCAGAGAAAAGTGAAAGGATATCGACGATCAACTACTAGTCAATATTGAAAGCAGCACAGTTTATTTTCAGTTGAATAGAAACACTAATTATCTATATCTTTTCATTTATTTGTTTTAACAAGTTAACACAAAAAAAAATGATCGTCCTAACGATGTTGTGTTGGTTGAATAACCTGAAGAAATCGGCGAACGTATGGTTTAAGATCATACCATGTCACAGCACTAGTACCTTTCTCCTCAAGAAGCGAAATAATCCGTACCAAATCGTACACAATATTCTGAAAATCATTCGGCATGTATTGCGGATTATCCGTCACAAATAAGGCATAATGTTGAAGACCTAATAGAAACATTTCATTAAGTGTTGTATGGTCAAAAGATGTAGTTGATAACAGTATATCGGACGTTGGATTATGTACCAGTCCAAGCGACTCATGCACAGCGTTCACCGCATGACAATAATCATTAGTTTGAGTAACACAACCACTAGTCGATGGCCGAATAAAAATGGCTTCAAAAAGCGACGGTATTCGATCGGTCGTTCGTACCGTTGTCAACGACGAAATGGATAATAGCAAGAGAAAAATCATCATCATTATTGTTACTTATTGTTTGAAAATAAAACTGACTGAATGGTTAAATATATAGGCAGATTCGATTGAGTATCTGGCCATTTTCCCAAGGTATCTTGACGCACAACGACTGATAATAAAAAAGAAAGTGAAGCCAATGACGATTTCTTGATAGAAAGAGTGTAATGCTGATCGAATGACACTTTATTCTATTCCTTCTTGCAAGAATCATATCATTTTCATACTAAGCATACGCTTATATACTCATCCATCAGAGTAGAGGAAAGAATATAAAAGAAGAGAGGCGAGTGACAAACTAATCAATGCCATTTAACCATTGACAAAGTAGGTGAGGATGAGAGAAAGTGTAACGTCGCCTGAGTATCGCTGTCGGTAGGTGTAAGAGTATTCTATTCATTTTACTATTTTAAGTCGATGTAAATATTCTAATGCACAACCAATTTGATAAAAAATAAATTTAGATTCATCTTCATCCATAATACATGTTTTATGTATTCTATTAAGTAATGCACCACCATCAGCGGCATATTCCATTTCAACAAATAAATCTGTTTTCTCATGATAAACATCAACACTTCCATGAATAGATCTATATGAATTCAAATAAAATATGAAAATATAAAACAAAACATTTATTTACACTTCTCTATAGAGATATTTGGAAAGTCCAGGACCAATTTGTTTTTCACATTGATCTTTATTGATTATTTTAATTGCACGACGTGTATTTGTTACATGTGATATAGCTCGATAAACATTCGCAAATGAGCCTGAACCAAGTAAATTTGCTTTTAAATAACGTTCATCAAGATTAATAACATCAAATAAACCTGATAAATGTATAAATTTATATGCACGATTTTCTTTAAAAAAAAACAACCATTTCTACTAACATCACGAAAAAATATTGATCGTCCGTTATCAAGACATTCGATAATAAAATGTTTGGAACTTAAATGAATAAAATATTCATGTTGTCGTAATTCTTTTGAATCAAGAATTATATCACATTCATTTGGATGTCGTCCGATTGTATAAGAAGATTTTGTTAATATTCCACGAGGATAAATATTATTAATTGGCTCTAAATAACCCCATGGAATAGATGAATACGAAGCCATTTGAAAATTAGTTTATGATGAATAATATATAGACAAAATATCCGACGGATTAATTCATACGGAGAAAGAAGAAAAAAAGATCATGATGGCCGGGTGATGTGTCATCAATATTTATTTTCTTATATTATATATGTGTGTGAAGAATGTGATAAACGATTATATTTATTTACACAGAATAGAGTAAAACAAAATGAATACAATGTTTTAAAAACAAACAAATAGACAGACTAGAGAAAAAGAAAATGTAAAAATTAAAACAAAAATGAAAACGTTCTATATTAAGTGCATTGTTCAATGAGCATACTTAAAAGTTCTTCACATTCATCAACTAGTCCATCAACTTCACTATATTGATTATTTTCCATTTGTATACATAAATTTGAAAGTAAATTGGAAAGTTTATCAGTTGCATTACATTCTTGTAAAATCTAAATAGAAAATAGATTAAGAAATAGGAATTTTTCATTTCAATAAAACCTCTTTTGCTCGTTCATGTTTTAACATTTGTTTAAGTACACGAAGTGCAAATTCTTGTACGATTACATGTGTATCATGACAAGCAACATCGAGTAGTTTTTCCGGAACTTTAAAACTAATTAAACGTTCAGATAAACGATAACGTGCCAAAAAACCAAGTGTATCTATTTAGAAAACGATGATCTTTCTTTTTTTTTGTACATGAAGTTACTTACTAACGGCATGTGATCGTATTTTTGAAATAGTATCATTTAATGCTTGAACAAGAAATGGTGTTAATTCATCAACATATTCATAGAGAATTTCATTTGTAGATATAAAATTTCCCAATACAAAAAAAGCCATCTAATATGAAAAAAATGAATGTGTAAATTAAAGAGATTTTTTTGTTGTTTCTTACTTTTCGAACATGTGAATCTTCTTCAAAACAACATTGACGTAATTGATCAAGTACATCTGGATGAGTTTTAAGAACTGTACAAAATGTACGCGATGATTTTGTCATATGACCCATAAGAAAACAACATTTTGCTTTTGTTAAATTACTTCCTGATAATGCACGTTTTAAAACATCAAAATCATCTTCAAATTAAATATATTGTATTAGATTAAAATTAGAAAAAAGAAATTCATTATATTTTTACTTTGTGGTCCACTAAGTATATCACTTAATGATGATACAACACTATCTGTTGTTTTTATTAAATTTGTAAATGTAAAAAATACATCACATAGAATGAATTCACTATCATTACTTCCATTAAGAACATTCGCATAGAATTGACATAACTAAAAAATATAATACGATTATCAGGGAATCTTCTACTGACGAGAAAACCATCCGAGGTATCAAAAAGTGATGTCTGACTGAGATATCGACTATCTATTGTATTTGTCATATAGAGCCCTATCTGTGCGGTAAAATCAAAGTTTCGAATTTAGAGCTGAAATATTGTCCACAGTAAGACCTCAATCAGACAAGCTTGCCTACAAAGTTTTAGAAATTGTAGACAGATTATCTTCGAGATATGAATCCATCGAAATATTCATGTGAAACCTGATATCCATAAGAAAGCGTCTCTATACTAACATACTTGTATCTCGAAGACAGTCTTTCCGAAATTTTGTTGACAAGCTTGTCCGATTGAGGTCTTAGTGTAGACAAAATTTCAGCTCAACAGCTTTTTGATACCTCGGGTGGTTCCCTCGTGATACCTCATTTTTCGTAAATGTTTCATATGTAAATCATACCTGTACATCTTCCATTAACATTTGACTGATTGTTTTTCGAGAAGCTAAAATATAAAATTTTTATTTCTTTTAAAAATTTCTTTTCTCTTACATTCTTGATAATAACTTAATTGTGCAATAAGACCAATAGGTACTTCAATACGATCAATTGGTAAATGTGTCATTGTTACCCAGAGAAGTTTTTGAATAATATCATAACGTTGACATAATCTAAATTCCGTAATATTAAATCATCATAAATTATTTAAAATAATTTTTTACTCTAATGTTCGTTCAAGAAATGTTTCACTTGTTTCAATAGAAAATGGAAACATGAATATATTACATGTTAATGTAACAACTTCAGTTGTTAATACATTTGTAGAACTTTATATAATAAAGAATTTATATGATATTTGTAATTATAATTTTTTCTCTTTCTTACTTTATATCAAGTTGTTCAATAAATTCTTTACTTAACATCATACTCA